GAGGGAGAAGATTTCATACAGACTGGATGACAAACTCTTGATCTCCCTATCTCTGGTCCAGGTTAGCATTAGCCAAAGTACATCCCATGTCTCGGCATCATTGCTCTGTGTTCCGTCAACGATGACCTTTCCGCTTCCGGCCAGCAGCAGCTTTAATGTTCGCCGTCGCTCTATATTACCTAGTTTGAACTCAGCCAGACGGTCGCCTGTACAATTCTAGACGAGCCACTCCTCTCTCCGACCGCGGCAGAGCAACGGCAAGTCCCGTCTCTCTCTGCCTCCGACAGCGAATGCAGGTAAGCTCCGAAGTAACTTTAGACCGCTGTTTAGACCATAGAGGTAGTCATATTGTTGAAGAGAAGTTTGTACTACTCATGTGTGTGTGTGTGTGGTGTGATCTGTGTGTATAAGTGGTGGCAAAATTTTTCATTGCAAAGTGGAACTGACTATTTTTTTTCCAAAAAGAGGGCGAAACTGCTGGCTTATAACCCATTGTGTAAAAGTATGCGCGATGCGTGTTACTGTTTGACCAAAGAATACACTGACTGCCTGGAACTAGTAATCCTGATTCTAGCGTGGGTCTCAGCAGAACCGAGACAAAAGAGAGTCGGCCAGACAGCCCTGATTTCTCTCTCACTCCGTGACATCAGGCGGAGGCAGACACATTTTTATAAGCTACGCTTTGTAGGTCTACATGCCCTTAGAAATCACCTCAGAAACTCTCTCCCTAACCACTGATATCGAGAACGCTATTCCAAACGTATTTGCAAGTTTGAGATCAGCTTTCATCCGATCTCCAGGTTGAGGCTATCGATATTCTGAGAGAGATGATTAAGGTCTAATAAACTTACAGTATGTGTGATTTCTATGTTACCCCTTTGTAGATGTCAGGTACTCAATTCCAGAGACAGGATATTGGTATATTAGTTAAGAACCACTGAATAAGTTGAGCACTCTCACTCCTTAGATACCTTTGTAAGTGTCACGCACACCAGGCAGTGTGAAGTACACTTGTCCTTCCAACAGCTTTGTAATACATTGTCCTTTTGGGAACATGAATGAGACAACCTGAAATAACTTAAAATAAAATCATCTAATCGTTAAGCCCACTAGTGGTCCAAAAACCAGGTTGACCAGAGGATTCAACTATAAATACTACGAGTCATGGTCTGGAATCATACAGCCAATTCAAGATGATTGACAGGTGGCTGCAGTCCAGGGCTTGACCAACTGACCCTTCCTAAGTCCTGCCATTTTTTTGCTCTGTGCTCCCCAATAACAGTTGAGCGTAAGCCTCGGTCAACTTTCTTCTTTTCCTGTACTTAGATATGCTATATGCTAGGCCTAGTCTATGTTGAAAGACAACCACTTTATGAATATAGCTAAAAGAACAGATCAAATTCTGAACCAAATTCAGAGTTGGTTATCTACCAAATTTTCAGCCCAAATGTAAGCTTTGTGGGAAAACAATCTTTTTGGGCTGGTGTGCAGAAGCCGGTCCCTGACCTCCCTGGAGCCCTTAAACGCAGAGAGCCTCCTAACACTGACCCATGAGCCAAATTTTTTAACTATTTGCCATTGCCACACCAGTTTGCACCTGACCGTCCGCCAAGTACTCCCCACTACAAATCCTCCCTCCTTTAAAACACTAGTTTACCTGATTTCCTGTTTCCCACAACTATGTCATTGTGTGTTTTCCTCCTTTTTTTCTGATGGATAGTTCTGTTCTTTCCTCTCATTGGAAGTTGTAAACATTGTACAGAGTGGAGGCTGGGCCTGGGGGGCATGTTTTTGCTAAAGAGCAAAATGCTGTCTTTAGCTAACTTCAAACGATATGATATATAATATATATGTAATAATGTATGTGTGATGTGTGTGTGTGGGTATATATATATATATATATATATATATATGTATATGTATATATGTATATTATATATATATATATATATATGTGTATGTATATATGTATGTATATATATATATATATGTGTATGTATATACTGTATATATATATATATATTAATATGGTTGTATGTATATATGTATATATATATATATATATATACTATATGTGTGGTGTATATGTGTGTATATATATATGTATGTATATATATATATATATGTGGTGTTGTAATATATATATGTATATATGTATGTGTGTGTATATAATATATATATATATATATTATATGTGGTGTATATATATATGTATATATATTATATTATGTGTGTGTATATATGTATGTGTGTGGTATATGTGTGTGGTATATATGTTATATGTTTGATCTTTTAGCTATATTCCATAAAGTGGTTGTCTTTTTCACATAGATTAAGCTAGCACATAGCAGTATCTTAAGTACAGGAAAGGAGATAAGTTGACCAAGGCTGCTCAACTGTTATTGGAGCACCAGAGCAAAAAGGGGCGGGGGACTTAGGAAGGGTCAGTTGAAGTGGACGAGGGCAGATTGAAACATTTTAACTTGTCTCAAAGAGAAGATTTACACACTGGGGCTTTAAACTGTGTCCTGTCGACCTTCAGGCAGCATGAAAGCAGCTGGAGACGGATTAATCAGCAGATCACCACAGCAAGACATCCACAGACTTTTCAGAAGACTACTACCCTTCATGTAGATTGTGGGTCATTTCAGGGGTCAGTGTGTGCAGCAGCAGCTCTGAGAATAGAAGACTTTTGTTCATAACACCGGTGTTCATGTTAATCTGCCGCTCTGTGTTTTTTGTGATCTTTAATCTCCTCAATGTGCTTTTCAGTTTGAATCAGAAAATCCTTTTTCTTTTGATGTTAATCATTGACTCAAATCTGTCACTTATTTTTTTTAGAGGCATACTGAAATTCTGCGTAACTGATTAGAAAGGAGTTTGATGACTATGTGGTCCTCTAGTTTCTTGCCTGCCTCGCTGATAAAGTTGATTAAATATCATTTAGGAATATTAAACTGTGCAGTGCTGAAGAGGACTTCAATCATGGCCGCCGCAGCAGGATGCTGATTAATCAGTATGGTAATTATGTGCCTTTATTCGTTTGTTTTTCTTCCAGACGTCTTACGACACTGATGTCTCCATGGCAGGAGTCAGTGAACGCAGCAGCATCCCAAATGTGAGTACTGTACACATTGTAAGATTTATTCATTTATTCACTGGGCCCTGGAGAGGAAATGCAATTGATTTTCAAATCTGTAGTTATGAAGCAACTCACCGTTGTACAACTGTTTCCCCTTCAAAGAAAGAAGATAAAGCAAAGCACTTTATTAAAGCAATATGATGATTTTACAGCTGTGAAGACAGTTGTACTCACACTGCTGTGTCACACTTAAGTTTATTAAAGAATATTTCTGGTTTATTACAACCTGTCTGATTGTCTGACTGCAGACTGTTAATCACATACTGTATAGATATCACCTCAAAGTTCACTACCTGAAGGATGAAACGATCAAAGAAAGTTATAGCCTGTAGTTTAAAAAGGTGGTGTTTTCTAGGGTTGAGCAAGTACTACTAAAATGAGCCATTGTGTAAAATCAGGGTTCCCACTCTTTTTGAGAAATGATTTTCCAGGAGTATTTCTTGACAGTACAGGACAGGACTTTTACAAATGGTTATATAAGCAGCAGTTTCGCTCTGGAAAAAATAGTCAGTTCCACTTTGCATTTGCACAACAAAAATGCACCCAGGTTAAGGTTAATCTGAGTGAGGAGCTAAAATACCAAATTGGTAAAAAATATTGTAATTTCCAGGTGTTTCCATGACTGGAAATCTTATCTTTATCTTCTTTTTCATAATAACTGTTGCTACCACTCTAGCTGACATGTAATAATAGATTTGATTGGTTGGAGATTGCCTTGGAGAGTGTTTAATGTTGTAAGAGAAATTATTTGGTATGTGAGTGAGCACGACATAGCAATTTCACTTATCACTAATAAGAGTGATAAAGCAATTATAGTAAGCTTACCAACAAAGCAAAATGTTTATGAACATGCTTTAACAGGCTCTTTCAAGTAAAATAAAAAAAAATGAAAGTACTGTGGCATTTGGTTGGGAAGCACCCCAGCACTGAATGTCACTATCCATCCTCCTGTGTCCCCCTCACCCTAATCTTACTCACTTTATTGTAAATAAAACGGAAAAAAGTCCAATCCTGATAAAAAAAAAAAAAAAGACAACATGGACCAAAAAGTACATACAATCTCCCAATCTTGATAAGTTTAAAAAACAAAAAAATACTGAAATGATGAGATAACGGTTGTTTTCTTGTCTGGCAGAGCGGGGAAATTGCAGAGGGACACGGGATCAGAGGTGTGCTCAGTCGAATCCCGAGCATTGTCGTTACCTCTGAGTCCAGCCCCTTCCTGCCCATTGGACGAAAAGGTTCCTGCACCACCCGCCCCAAGACCTCAAACAACAACACGCCCCGCCCTCCCAGCTGATCGCCCGCAGACCTTCGACCAGCTCACGTCCAGTCCGATATTTAGAAGTGTAGAGTTCAAACACATAGACGCAGCTCAGAAACAAACAAAACCAAAAAATCATTACCTTTGAAATGTATAAATCTGAATAAATGGTCTATAGTGTGTGCAGAGGGGGGCGAGGCCCACATCAGAGTGAGCATAGCGGTGTCTTGTAATGTAACATTTAGTGGTCGAGAAGACAGAATTACTCTGTAAATGTCAAAGAACAGCTGTTGCCATGGATACTGTAGACTGGAACCAGAATCAGCTGATATACAAAATTACAGTCATACATTATACAAACTTAAAAAAATGTATTTACAATGCTGTAAATGATTGGTTATTGTTTTATTTAACCTGTAAAGCCCTATTACTGGTATTTTGTAAATATAATAAGCCCTGCACACCCACACAGGTGTTTTTTAGTAATTCTGGCTGATTAGACCTCTGTGTATTCATGAATATCAGTCACGT